GGGTGAGGTAAACAACATCAACCCATGCTTGAGAAAACATTGCAGCTATTCAAAATACCATGGTAGATCTGCTCATAATTATTATTATTTTTATGGTGAAAAATATATGCATTTAGAATTAGCCGGGTGGACTCAGTTTCGATGATACCAGTTTTGTTGGCAACATCCAAGTCATCATATTTGGGAGCCAGTCAAATGCAAGCATTTTTCTCTCCATGAGGCCTGATTATAGACCTCGGCAACATCAATGTCATAGATTTTCTTAAAGCTTGTTTGATTTGGTGTGTATTATTGGCTTTCACAATCATTTTCAAGGCTGACTCTGCAGGTAGGGAGAACTTGATAATGGCATAAGTGGACAAACCTGTTTCTCCTGGGGGCGCTCTCCAAGGGTATTTGGGCTGCCTCCTGAGCCTCAGTTTCTTGGGATGGCGGGCGGTGGGTAATGTTCATATCGTCTTTGTGGCTGTGGATATCTTTCAAGCATGGCCTTGGTCCCAGAAGCTTTTGCTTTGACTTCAGCATTGGGAGGGTTAGGGACTCCTTTGCCTTCAGGGTCATCTTGGGAAAAAGATCTGCTCATGATTAAAGGGAACATTTGCCAAGACATAATATCAAGGAGAAAAAAAAAAAAAGAATCACAGGAAATGGTCCAATTCATGTTGGACACATTCCTGCTGACTTGAACCACTCATAGTACTTGCACAACTGTGCCACTGGGTGGCTTCTACCGTTAGAGATACAAACCAATCTACTTGCTTCTGTTAGTCTGTTTAATAATAAAGCTAATAAAATGTTGATGAATGATTTCAATCTAGTTTCTTACATTTGAATACTTAGGGCCCAAATATATTAATACTATTCATACCAACTGAAAATTATTATGGCCCAGGAGATAGCTCAGTGATTGAAGTGCGTACCTGACAAACTCAAGGACCTGGATTGGGTCCCAGGTTCCTCACGCCATGCTGGCCCCGGCCCGGGTGCACTGTCCTGGCCACCAAGACTGAGTGTAGTTGAGCACTCCTGGAGTAATCAATGGAGTTTTTCTAATTTTACACGTCTCTAAGAAGTAAAGTACGGGGGCCTGCCCCTTAGCTCAGTTGTTTAAGCGGCTGCTTCAACAAAGCCGTCAGGCTCAGGTTACTGTGGTTCGATCCCCACAACTCAAGCCAGCCA